AAAAACCCGCCACCCACAAAAACAAACAAACCAACCCAAATATTTATTCAAACACAATGGGAGGTGATTGGCCTTCTGTTACAGAGGCTGCAATACAAGACTATAGCCACACTATATTACAGTACCCTGAAGACGTATTTGTGAATTGCAGTTCACTTAAAAACGTTTCCTAAAACATGAATTCCTGCAGATGCCTGTTCACACTTACCTAGTGCCATCTCTGCCAGCAAGGACTCTGCAGCTGGTAAGGCAGAGGGCCACCACTTCCACATCCATGCAGCCATCCGTCAGAGTTGATATCATTCAGCCCAACTGACAAACCTCCTAGGCACGATGGCAAGCAGCCTGCACTCAAACACTACTACAGTTTGAATGCTACTATACCCTCCTCCATTATGGTCAGGCTTTTGTCCAGGTGTAAGGACACGTAAGTAGCACCACCAAACACAAGGGAAGGGAGAAACACTCTCTGCACTGCTCCCCAAAGCACATGCTACCAGTTAGAGAAGTGAAAATGATACCAGGTGATTCTTGTGATCAATTGTAGCTCACACAATCCACTCAACAAGGCAGCAAGAAAAAAAAAATCACTAGAGCTGTAAATCTGGCTTGGACCCATGTCCAGCCCCCTGCAGTGGGGCAGCTGGCAGAACACCCACTCCTCCTGTCCCCCAGAAGCTGAGGGGCTCGAGATGCCTGGCAGAGAGGCACTTGCACGCTTTGCTTGGGCAGGGAAACAAGGCCCCAATGACCAACAAGGGGGGCCAAAGTGGGGTGCAAGATGGGCTGAAGCACCCCCCAGAAGCAGGCAGTGGGGGACCCTGGGTAGCAGTGCCAGCCACATGGTGCACTGCCCAGCACCATGGACACGCTCATCTTCTGGCTTTGTCCGGGAAAGACAAATTTTGTACATTCATGAACAAAAGAGCCCAGAAAAAAAGTTGTTTCCACTCTGTACCCTCAACTGAAATATCCCACATAACAGCTTTTTAACAGCCCCTCCGTAGGAAGGGGATGATGGTGCAGTCACTCCTCACAGCAGTGCTGACCACCCTACAGCTGCTTCTGGTGGGAAGCCACTGCCCCACTGCATTGGCAGCTCAAGCAAAAGGAAGGATTCACACATATTCTCCACAGTGTCCCCAAAGGACAGGCCCTGAGCAGGCTTGCTGGTCTTTCTTTCTTGTCCCCATGCTCTGATTGCTTGACTGGGACCCAACTTAGTTGGGAAGATGGGGCAAGAGTTTGTGAGCTACCCACACACTGTGGCCACCCACCCACACATGCCACATGGCCACCACAGGGCCAGTCCAGCCCCCTGTGGCGCTGGGTGCCACCAGGCACTCAGAGATCATAACCCAGGCAACATTTTCAATCCTTCCTCCTTCCCTTCAGGTTTTTTGCCAGCTGGTGTGCCCCAGCCTCCTGTCAGGACATGTTTCTTAAAACTGAGGGGGGCCAGAACGTCCCTTTGCAAATCAAGGGATCTTGAGCCATTTGGAGGTTTCTAGAGAAGTACTGTCAAGCCAGAAGCAGAGCAGCGGTTGGGGACACAACCCGCTTCGGCACCCGGAGGCGCCCGCGTCCCCAGAGGCGGGAGCGGGGGCCAACGGCCGCCAGGTGGCGCCGCCGGCGCGCGGCCCGGGCGGTGCGGGGGGACGGTCACACCCTCCTGGTACAGCCCTGGCCCCTGCCGGGCTGGGTCAGTAGGAACACTGAAGGACAGTCATGCTCGTTCAGCAGCTGCCGGGGAAAACGCCTCCGTCGCATCTGTGCGGAAAAAAACAGCCCCTCCCGAAACAGCCACGCCCTGAACGTAGCACAGCGGGACCGACTTCTTCATTGTTCCTCGCGCCTAATTCGCCGTTACGGTGTGTTTTTAACAGTGCCACCACGGATCCACAAAATACCCAAGGACAAAGCTCATGGGTTTCCCGTCAGCAACCTCCCCAGGTCTCGCCGTGCCCGGCTCCAGGCCGAGCGCTCCTGACCCCGCCTCCCACACCCGCACTGACTCCGGGAAGCACAGACCCCGCACCTCAGCGAGGTTTTTGTACTAGCCCTTTGGTATTTTAATGCTCGTAAGGGCACAGGCAAAACAAATATACTGAGTTGCTAACAATGCGAAATCATTAAACAGTGATGGCTTTAGCAGCCCGTGGAAAGATCACTAGTGGCTTACCTTGCATGGAATTGCTTCTGTCTTAACTGACTGGTGTGCTAAGGAAACAAGGACCTTTGACACAAGCAGGGTTGAATCACTGGTGCCCAGAGTGTCTTGCTGTTTGCTCCATACCACTTCTTACAGAAGTGCAGTCTTGGTAGATAAAACTGCAGCACCTTTGGGCCTGGTAGATGGACTAAAATTGCAGAAGTAAGCCAAACACCAGAATAGGGCATCAGAGGGCAGGAAGAACAGTGTTATTACCTGTCTTTTCCCTGCCACAAGCAGGGGAAAGGCAAACACCTGTGTTCCAGTGCTTGGGGATGAAAGGTTTCCATGTCCATTCCAAAATAGGTCAAAAGAAATTTCTTGGTTTTGAATGACTGCAGTGTACAAGCAGCAGATTCAAGAATACATCACACCAACCCAAACCATGTGAAGAGTTCAAGGTTAACTGAAACAACCTGGAAAACTTCTAGAGCACAGAATCATAGAATCATAGGGGTTGGAAGGGACCTCGAAAGATCATCTAGTCCAGCCCCCTGCCAGAGCAGGGTCACCTAGAGCACATCACACAGGAAAGAACACGTGTGTTTGAGTGACTCAGTGAACCTGAGAGAACATGAGTGCTTAGGTAACTTGCAAAATCCAGAGCATCATATCTCACATGAAAGGATTTTTATTTAGGAAAGCATGATTAAGTTTCCTTGCAATATGCAAACAACCCCTACTCCAGGTGTACCAGGCAGGAACGAAATGCTATAGGACACACAAACAAGATGCACAGCCATGCTCATGTCATTTGTTATCTCAACTGTTTTTATTTTCTTCAGAATGACACCTGAGGAAAGGCTGGCTAGCACTGAAAGTATCATTAAGGCTTTTTACATGTTCTATGAAAATTGAACTATTTAAACTACCAACATTTCTTACCACAAAACTCTTGATTACAGCACCAGCTTCTGTAACACACTTGAAAAGAAAGTTAGGAAGCATTTTTATAAGCCTCACTTGAGCAATGTCAAGACAAACACTGAACTTCCTTTTCATGCTCAAAATACTGATTTGTGACAGAATATTTTAGGAAAACTCACATTTTCACAGTTGTCTCAACTACTGCAGAGCCCTTTTATTTCTCCAGCTGCCTATCAGCATTTTAACAAATGGAACTACTTCAGGTTTAAAGACTAAGTACTAGAAAAGTGATGCACATGGATACGGAAAAAAAATAATAGGTTCAAACGTTCCATTACTAACTTGTATAAAGAGCTGAAGTATCTGCTTTTATTTCACTTGCCTATTTTGGGACCTCAGGAAAACACCTAGGAGTAAACAGGGTATGGAAAAAAAGGGTTAGAGTACATTAAAGTGTCAGACAACAACAGCCCTATCAAAAGCTTCCAAAAACTGAGAAACATCAAAGTTACAGTCATGCTAGTTTAAGGATGCAAAAAAGATTCACAAGCAAAAGATAGAGTCCATCATCTGCACAGGTGCTAGTGTTGGTTGTCACATATAGGCACATAGCTTTTTTACTTTTTCAGAAGAAGCCTGGACACATATTGTGAGGCATCAAAGGTGGTTTTACTAAAAAGAAAATCCATACTAAAATTCAAATGTCTAGCCACACACTCTCTAGCTTAAACCGGTCCAGCACATTAAAAAAAACCCTTCAGACTAAAAATACAGTTTATGAATGTTAACATGAAGTACAACAAATTGCACCTTACGTGCTTCTTCCATCATTGAGTAGAAGTACTCCTCAGAAAAGGGCATTTAATGACAACAGGCATTTTACAAGAGTACTTAACTCACAGACTGAGTATGAGGGCAGCAATGCAGGATGATGATGATCTCAAGCAAATCACCAGGACTTTCATGAGGCTTAAGTCAAATCCAGCATGAACCAAACACAGCTTGCAAACCAGAGATAAATCTTCCTGATCATAAAACCTGCCCTATAAAGGAGGCTGCTGTGAACTACAGCCTTCAAGACTAAGTATCAAGATACCCTTCTCACCTATGAGAGTCTAAGTAGGCTCCAGTCCTCTCCCCAGTCTCAATAAACTCACATTCTTAGAGCATTTTAATTATATGTATTTAATATGTAACACCTTAAAACCATTCACAGCTAGCTATGGTGGACCTTAAGGGATGCTACACAAACAACGTATCCCTCATACTTCTATAATCTCTTCATTGTACTCTGCAGAAACACAAACATTTTTCCATTATTCCATGTTTCTGGACTCAAAGTAGCTATCTGCAAAGATTTATCAGTCAAAGAGAAAGCAAAATTGAATACATTTTCCTCTGTCTCCATTTAAAATTAAGCCTTTATTTCAGTCATTTTAAGCAGAAACCTCTCAAAGCATTAGGATCATCAGGCTGTTATACCATTATACTGTTACATTCAGTTGCAGAGATAGGTCTCACTTCATACAAATATAAGCAAAAGGTGTGTGACTGTGGTGAGGTTTTTCACCCCTTAGGCAAAAGCATCAAGGAGTAGTTCTTAAATGTCTTGGTGTGCCACATACACCATTCTGTACTCCTTATCAGGAGGCCTACTAGCAATGCAGTAAATCTTGCTTGTGGAACACAGAAATTAAACAGTTGTGTCATGACAAATCTTACCTGACAGAAAAGCACATTCAACTTGCTTGAGGAATCCAGTCGTTCAATGAAAACCATCTATATTCAGCGTTACCATAGGTGGGGTCCTTAATTGCACAAAGGTATAGAGCGCTACGTCTTGGATTATTTTAAGTTAGAAGTTAAAACTTAACTGAGCACTACCCTCGTATCTTAACTTTTAAAATATCTGAGGCACAAATAAGTGTGTGTACTTGTTTTATTCATCATTTGTCTTGGGATACCAAATGTGTTTCTACTTCAGGTGATTTAACAAAACCATTGACTGCATTTCAGAACATCCACCGATCCATCTTTCATCCAATGGCAACATTGAATGTTAAAAGGAACATAAAAACAAACATGCACACAATTGTACAGTTTTCATAAATGTCTATTTCATTATTTGTGGGTAGCGCATTAAACAGTTAAATACATTTAAATATGTTTCCGTGACTGCACTAATGCAGAATTTTAACTAGATGGGTAACCAATTTAACTAGAAACCAGCTAACATGTAACTGTCTAAATACTTCAGATACAGCTCTTGTTCTAGGTCATCCTTCTTGGAAAAAAACCTGCTGGTCACATTGGAAATACATTTTAAGGCCAAATTCTTCTGATATCCCTTCTCTGCAGCAGTTTCTTCACTTTTTTTAAGCCTCCAATTCCAGACCAAGACCAAGTTTATGGCCACCAGCATTGATGCTCTTTCCATCTATCAGGGCAGACAGTGTAAGCTTCACACCTGTAAGATTTTTAAAGAGCATGTTTACAACATACAACCACAGTAGTTTTCATGCAACTCCACCTCCATCGTTACATGTCCCAGTTGTAGCTCTTTTTTCATTTCATTACTTTCCTCTAAACATTTCTAAAGAAGAATTCATTTACCCCTGAAATCTATTGAAAATTAGTCATGTGAATCAAGCTAGATGCTTTTTCTAAGTATCATGTAGTAAGTGCATATACAGAGTCTCTAACTGACAAGTACACTAGAGCTCTCCTTTATTTTACTTTAAGGTATGCAAAGAAGAACAAGAAGTATGCGTAAAAAGGCAAACGCTTGTATCAAGGAATGGACAGAATTAAGCTACTATTTGTATTGGTTTTTGAATAAGAAAACAGTTGTAATACAGCATTAACAGGTCCTTTTCTATTTAAGCAGAACAAGTTACCTTCCTGAGGAATTTTTTTACTAAATATGAAGAGCAGGAAGTGTGTTCTTTCAACAATTAATCATTATTTCAAGACCTATCATTCAATACAGTATGACTGGAGAAAACAACATTACAAGAGAATGCTTGCAAAGACTAAAGCTAAGCTATCCAACACCATACAGTCCACTACAACACAAATGAATGAGGAGTATGATGCAGAAACACTGGATACAAAGGAATCTGTCTTGTTTAGATAAAGGTTTGATGTGCAACATAAGCTACTATAAACTACCTACTTTACCCTCAAGACTAGACTATTCTGAAGGAGGGGCAATAGTTGCACAATAAATGTATACATCTCAAAGATTTTCTTAGAATCATAGAACCACTTAGGTTGGAAAAGACCTTCAAGATGATTAAGTCCAACCATTAACCCCACTCTACCAAGTCCAGCACTAAGCCATATTCCCAATTGCCATACATTGTATGAGTGACTTAATGTAATAATCCTTACCTGGCCTCAGGGTCTGGGTGTAACCCACTCCAACTAGACTAGAATTGTTCACTTTTGCCTGAAGAAAAATAAAGACAAAAGCAGTTGAAATGTTTTAACTAGTCAGTTCTTTGTTATAATTAAAAAACTAGAACAGCTATGGCAACATTCCCATTATCAACTTAACTGAATTTTACTTGTTCTTTCCATATCTCTGTGCTTACTGGATTCTCTCTTCACAGCTCTGCCCTTTCCCCTCAATTTACAGCTGAAGTAGTAATGTATTTAAGAGCAGATAGAATGTAATGGTGGGGAGAACAGTTACTGAAATGTAGGCTGGCAGATGAGCTTCTCCTCTCCCCCCTTTTCAGAAGGCCACAGCAATTTATCACCACCACTGTTTACCACCATCTCCCCAGATAAGCCACTTGGCAATCCTCCATGCTCATATTACTACAAAAGAGTTACTATCTTGCAGGTCCAATCATTCAAGCAGCGAACATTTTATAACATCATCACAAACAATGTGCAAAATTATTTCGCTCACTTTGCATCTCTTTCTCTATAGGATGACTCCAACAATCCAGGTTCAATTCTAGCTTTCTAACTCAAAAAAACCTTTTCTGCCTATTGCCTTTTTAACCAATACGATTGCAGTTCTTAACATGACAAAAAAAAACCCTGGTTTTAAAAAAAACTCTGAAAACTTACAGAACTAGACATGAAGAGGATTTTTCTTTTTCCTTTTTTCAAAATGTATTAGATTCTCTACAGTAGCACAATGTTTGACAGATTCTGTAAGAAACTTTGCCACATGCAATACTACAGAATTTAAAGACTGCTGGTTCAATTGTAACTGCCTGTAATAGTAATTCCTGCAAGACTTCCTGACATACCACCTTTTGTACTAAGAAAGGACACAGATCCACAGAAAGTGAAAATACTAGTTAGAGCCATACTTACAGAGATAGAAGCAGTGGAATCCAACTTGTATTTAGCCGCAATGCCAAAGCGAGTGCTGTTGCTACCTGCTGTCCAAGCCAGGTTGACAGCAGTTTCCAGACTGTCACTCACTTTTTGGTAAATTGACCCACCAAATTCTGAACCGTCATTGCTGCACAAATTAAGAAAAAACTTAATTTCCTGCGTTTACATAATATCAAAAAAAATTTTTTTAAACACTTCAAATTTTTATTCAAGTAAGAATTCCAAAAGTTGGAGCTGTTTCAGACTTTTTGACAGGAGAAGAGGACAGTAACAAAGGCTTCAAGGCAAAATTAAATTGCAACAATTCATGGGGAAAAAAAAGATTTCAGAGCACTACACCTAATTCTTATGCTAATGCTGAACTATGTACTTAAGTGTAATTCCAGATTATAACTTTACAAAACTAACAGATAAATGTTAAGGTAGGAAATAGGTATTCTGAATTCTATGATTATTGAATCATAGAATGTTAGGGGTCGGAAGGGACCTCGAGAGACCATCTAGTCCAACCCCCCTGCCAAAACAGGATCATCTAGGGAGGTCACACAGGAACACATCCAGGTGGGTTTTGAAAGTCTCCAGAGAAGGAAACTCCTCAACCTCTCTGGTCAGCCTGTTCCAGTGCTCATCACCTTCACAGTAAAGAAGTTTCTCCTCATGTTGAGATGGAACTTCCTGTGTTCCAGCTTATACCCACTGTTCCTTGTCCTATTACTGGGCACCTTCAAAAGCAGTCTGGCCTCTTCCTCTTGACACCTGCCCCTCAGATATTTGTAGACATTAGTAAGATCTCCTCTCGGACTTCTCAAAACTAAACAGCTACAGTTCTCTCAGCTTCTACGATACTCCTAAAGAACCAGACGACTCTTTTGAAAATGTGTTACTGTGTTTGATATTAGTGAACTGAAATGGAATTCTTACAGCCAGATTATAAAGCATTTTGTAGCTTCTTCCCATACTCCTCAGCCTCCATAAACACTGACAGTTATACTCCCCATTCTGCCCCTTCAAAAGGACAAACTTTTATCTCAAAAATCAAGTTATTTCCTAACAAAAGACACTAGAAGAGCACCAATTTTTATTAACTTAGATTGAAAACACTATTTTCTTCAGTAGGTTTTGATCAGCTTGCTCTGAAGAACATTTAAGATCCAAAGGCAACAAGTCCAAAAAAGTTCATAATTAAGATGTCTTATGCTTGTTTAGTTACACTCAAATGTTTCATGTGCTCTTCATCCCAGACAGACAAGAAGACAAACCTTACTCAAAAAGTCAAAAAGACCCCTCTAGTCTTGCCCCAGAAACTATTACTGGCCTACTTGAAAAGTGCAACACTAATTACTACCTCTAACAAATCCACTGCCCTTAAATTATAGTCAGATACAATTCAATGTAATGGGAGTACTGGAAAATGCATTATTATCAGCCCTGTTTAAATGAACTATTGCACTGCTGTAGCGTATGTCATGCTGTAAATGCTAACAAGCCACAGGTATTTACTGTTTGAAAAGAGATACAAAGTAACATTTCTTTTTTATTTAGAGCTTCCCAATGAAAAATGCACTCTACTTAACAGCCTTGTAAGTACCTCTTTCTATTCCACAGATCTGTATTCTGACTAGGAGGTAGAGAAAGCGTGCTTCCGTATATCTGCACAAAATGTTCAATACTTACACGTTTGTGTGGAGTTGGAAGTCTCCAGTCTTGTAACCCACAGAGAAGTTATTTCTTGTCAATTTTGATTTGGCACTATCAAAAGTCATCTGGTAACCAGCAAGCCATCCTTCATAACCAAAGACAGCTGAACCATGGATTGCAGGTCCAGCAAAATCAAAGTCAACATCACAACCTAGGTTTAGGCATTCACGTTTATAAGCCGACTTAATTTTGCCACTTTTCTTTCTGAAACAGAGAAACAGTTACATTAAGTCTTCTGCAATGAATTGCCAAATTCGAGCCATATGACTCTACACAATGTATCTAATACCATGCGCATGTAACTAGACTGGGCCAAAGCACAGGCAACCCACCAAGAAACCACAGGGCTACTGCAAATAGGCATTTTGTGATGAATGAAAATGAAGCCATTTCCGTGCCTCCTGCAACCTTCCAAGTATTTCTATGCCAGAAAATAAGCAAAGTGGACTGGACTGTTGTGAAATGTTCAACAGTAACCCTATAGAATAAAAAATGATGCTAAAAAGCAGAAGCCTTTAGCATTAGGATTTGATCATTTACATCAACAGCAAACCATACAAACATCTCTGTCAATACAACAGACCAGATGAACATTTACTGACCATGGGTTTTGGTACTGCCCTAAATAAAGTTAAAAGGTTAACAATTCTTACCCTGTATTTGGTGAGAAAGTTGTATCAAATGTCAACTTCAAGCCTTTGGCAATCTAATTGAATGGGAAGAAGATAAGATAAAGGTATAAATTCAGTTCTACTAGCCAGATAAAACAAATAAATACTCTCCTGATGCATTACCTGATCTTCAATTGCAATTTCTGTTCCTAGAGTGTTATCTGTGTTCCATTTTTCTGTGAAAGTCAGCCCATACTCAGCCCACTTATATTTGGTCTCCAAGCTACCATTCACTTTTCCAGTGTCTGTGTTCGATGAACCAGATGTTGTGAATTCCTAAAAAGGACAGAAGATAGATGTGATCCTGAAAGCATTACACAGTGCTAAAAGAGAAAAAATGTTCTTCAGCAAGTGTTAAGATCTTCTTCTTCTACACACCAAGTTGAAAAACATTAGACAACTTGCAGGGGGAAAAGAGGGAACAATATGGATAAGAACTAGACAATTCATGCCTACATGGAGGCCTTCCCCCACGCCCCATCTCAACTGCAGTGTTTCTGCCACTATTAATAATTGTATAGGTTTGCGACACATCTCAGAAGCAAGACAGTAGTTACTGTAAGTCTTCTCCTTAGAAGCAGAAACAAGTTTTAGAAATATAAAGTTAAGTCTGATACTGTTAATGAGCAAATTAAAAATCAAACCAAGAGACAAGAACACTCTAAGGCCCATAGTGTATCCTCAGAAAATTCCTTAAGAATCACAGGTTTCTTTTCCAGTCAATCACCTCCGAAGATAAATTACATACAACTGTAGAATGTCACAGAACACCATCTTTTTTCCAAATCGGGCGTGGAGTGGGTGATGGTTTCAGTTTTTGTTTGGTTTGGGTATTTTGTTGAGAGTTCTCAGCCAAACAATGCACCAGTCTTTCACACAAGCCACAGGCAACATAGGCTTTTATTGGCATCTATAAAATTCCTATGCCCTGACACTCTGGTTTAGTGCCACAGGAATAATGTTCATGTTTGAATTGTGAAATAAGACAACAATCTGATTTTATGCTTCTTGTAGGAGTCTTATTTTGAATTCTTGAAAGTATTTTAGAAGTCAGCAATACCACTCACATCTCCTTAACAACCTGAATAGTTCCTGATGTCTCCCACTATTTGGATTCTCACAAAGAACAGAATGAGTAATTTCCGTCTACCACTATTCAGAAACTAAAGGCAATACCTAGTAGAAATGGAAGTCTGGTTTGCAAGGGTTTTCTTCCCACTGAAATATTATTGCCCTTACAGCTTAAAAAGTTCATTATTTCAACTTCTAAAAACACATAAATCAAAATGTTGGTCTCTGACTTCCTCCATGCACAATATTATTTTCAAATCAACTATTCACACTCATCTCCTCAGAAGGAATCACAGTTTTTACTTTAAGATCACATTTGAAATCACAAGTCCTTAAGCATCTGTATTCCCACAGCCCAAGACCTACTGAATACTGCAAAACCATGCATGAGACTCTTCTTTAATGCTGACTGATCACATTTAACCACATAGCCAAGACACTCAAATTATGTTAGCATAGCACTAAACTGTGCACAAAGCTGCACAATTCTAGTAAGGTCTACTTCGTAGCAAGTGACACTTCTCACTTTGTGCTGTCACTACTGAACAGCCTATGTGACTGCAACTACTGTGGTAACAGCTTCAGGAGCAGCAAATTATTACATTATCTCATCTCTGCTTTAAAACATTTGTAGTATCTACATGCCAATACTTCCTCCTCCTGAGCAGGATGACTTATAACTCACATGGGATTCACATGAAAACTTGGATTTTGCAGGGAATTTTACCAGTATTACTGGTTGTTGAAAGAAACAAGCTAAAATAAGAACAACATCAATAACACGGTTCTTGCAAACTGTGCTTCAGTTGAGATATAGACTTCTAGAAAAAACAGCATATAATCCACCCACCTTGTTTCTAACAGCCAGTTAACACTGTTAAAGCTTTCAATTATGATGGGGGGGGGGAATCTACCTTTATATCTTGCAAAGTCTGCTCTAGAAATAGATAGAAGTTGCAGGAGGGACTGCTTGCATGACCAAGATATCTTGCATGGAATATTAACTGCAACACTTTAATATCTTTAAAGATTCAAGGTGCTAATTCACTGCCAACTATTTCACACAAGTATTAGAATGCTAGAAATTTCCACCAAATACAAACAGTATCATGAAGTACTTTAGAAACAAATTATGTGCACTACAATTGATAAATTCCAATACTTTAAAATGTCAGCTATTTGTTAATCTCCAGACATAAGAGGGGGGACAACGAGTAAACTTTTGTTCTACAAATATTACTGACCAGCATGATACCCGTTATATTCGGAATAAAGTCAGATCTTTAGGGGCTTCTGAAATAATTTTACACCAGAAGTTTATGATTCATATGAACTACTTAACAGCATCTGGACGGTGTCCATTCTAATTAAATATCAAAACATATCCAGAAAAAAAATATATACTTAAAAAAAGGTATTTGAACTTACCACTCCACTTGCAGACTTTGTTTTCACATCCAGCTTCACCAAACCAAAACCTTAACAAACAGATGTCAAAGTTAAAACAGCAGGCTTTAATCAAGACCCTGCACATTTGGCAAGAAGCTGGTTTTCAAAGCAGTCTTAGCAGCATGTCATGTATATACACATATTAAAACAACCATAGACTGACTGACTTAAGTAACACTCCTATTTTAGATGCCACAGTGGGTAGAGGAGGCCACGCTAGAACAAGCCAGGAGTTGTTTTATCATCACCACATAGAAAGTGAGAACAGCCTCTCAGTTGTACACTGCACATTTAACTACCAAAAAATGACTTCTAACAGCCAGACCTAGTGACAGACAAAATGCATTTTTTTTGTCTGCTCCCAGGATGGTAAATGCCATCTGAAGAGCTATCCCAATGCATAAAATTTGTCTCTCAGCACCAAGAAGAAATATCTTAGAAATCCGTAAAAGCAAAGTCACTGGAAAATACAAAGACATTTGAACTATAATTTAAGTAGATAATATGGGAGTGTTACATTCTTACTATCAGAGAGCTGAGCAGTGGTCTTCATGAAAAAGCCCCCAGATGAGCTCCCAAAAAACAGGAAGAAGCAGTACTGTAATAAATCAGAATTTAACTATGCAACTGCCTGGTATTAAAGCACTTGAAAATGTTCAAGAATTCTTTATCCCAATAGCTATTCCTCTTTCTCTTCCAAAAAAAAGGCTATAATGTTACAGTGGTATATACCCCTTTCTATTATAAAAAAATGTTGTGGCAGAGACAGGCTGGTAAATGAAGCATACTCCTAACTTAAATTACACTTGATGCAGACATTATTGCATACTTGTACACCTCTGACATTTATGTGGCTAAAGAAGTAAGACTTAAAAGACTTAACATCAAATCAGCCCACAAAAGGCTTGCAATTATGTTAGTTGATGGTAATGACATAAAAAACACACCTTCCCCCTCCACAGAAACACAGGCATTTGAGCATTCGATTTTACACACAAGACATGCTGCATCACAAACACCATGTTTTATAAAAGGTACTATTCTTACCATATCCTTTATTGAAGATATCTCTGGCAGATTTGCCGAGGTCTACATATGATGGAGGAATCGCCATTGGAGCTAAAAGGTAATGGGCTCATTAATAGTCAATCTTTCACCACTGCACCTACACAAAAAAAATGCTACCAGAACTCTTAAATTAAGACACTCTTCAAGGCAGATCCATATTTGAGGGCAGTTAATAGATGGCTCAAACAATGACAGTATTTTGTGAAACATCTACAGATTTTCTGAAATGTTCACTGTGAACACTGAATATTTTCTTAGCTTAGATTACCTACGTGTAGAGGCATAACAAAACCACACAGTTCTTATTTTTTTTAGTAAGTTTTTCCACACATCTTCAATTACCAGAAATCAACTAATAGCTCACATTTCCAGAGTTGGCAGTTACTACCAAAAACCAGAGAACTGGGAATTTGAAAAACCATAATGCAGATACTTGCTTCCTGAAGTTCCAAAGTCAAATTTGGCAGATGCTTATGAAAATTACCTGAAAGGAGATACTACGGTTTATTTTCAAAATGTAAAAAGAGTGCATATCTGTTCTGTAGCACCATTTGTTCCATGCTTTAAATGGCAAACATGACACTGTAAAAGGAACGTCTAATGCCATTGACTAGCAATCAGTCTGATGAAGTTTTTGTCCTCTTTTAAAGTACAAGAGTTTAATTTTGGGGGTTTGCCTCGTTAGTTTAAAACAAATAAGTAGTAGGAGTGTTGGGTCAATGAGAAATGCTCTCTTTAAAAGTTCCCCTCCCAGACAGGAGCCTCTGGCAATGTCACTGTTAAAGAACTTGTCATTCAAGACTAGGTTCGGCCCGATGGATAGATACCAGCCTAAGGTCTCATACAGGCCTGTGTGGTTCTCCTCCCTGTGAAGATAGCTCTATCTGTACCTTCCCTGGGTGACTGTTTTCCCATGATTTCAATAGCAAAAGGCCACTGTTACAGAGGCACAGCTCTTTGAAGTTTTAAAATACACAAACCAGAGAATATTTCAAAAAACTAATCAACTCCCTCCATGCTGTAAAAAGTGGGGGGCAGGAAGGGAGGGGAAAACAATGAAACTACCTAGATAAGCACCATTAAAAGGCTAAACACAAGCAAACAAAAATCTTATCTTTTCAAAATGATTGGTAACATCTGTTTTGCAGAGAGAGTTTGATTAACATAATTGACTGTTTATCTTGCTCTTGCTCATTTTTTTTTAAAGTAAATTGAAAAATATCTTCAGAACTAGAGAGATTTTATTTTTATGTATTACTTTTAACCAATATTTAAATATTCAACATCTTATCAACATTATCTGCTTATCTTCTGCAGATCGGTACAAGATCCTAAGCGTGCTCAATAATGCAGGGTTGAGGCAAGCTGTTTTCCCTCCCTCCTCTCTGTCAGAAGAATTTCTTTACATATTTATTTGTCTACATAAAGGGAAAACTTTGCTTGAACATCTGATTCAGAATAATTTCCTTTAGGGCACCATTCCACTGAACAAACTCTTCATTTCAGAACGGCACCCACAGAAAAACAAACTAAAAACCACAACACCACAAAAAAACCCACACAAACACCCAACAAAAAGACACCTGACTTCACCTCCCATAGATGGCCTAATTTATGAACTGCTACTACTAAAAAAAAGCCTATTTTATGAAGCAATAATAAGGCCCAAGAGTGCTTCTGATATTTTTACAATTTCTAGTGCAGTTTTCCAGAGTATCTTACTACACCTCCCTAACCAAAACCATTTATATTCATAGTTTAACTAAAATTTTATAACGCCTTCTTCAATAAGGAGTTCTAAACTCTACAACCAGGTTACTACAGCAAGATATCCATTGCTTGCTGAAGGACACAGAACAAGTCTGGTTTTCCATCAAGTACTATACTTCTTAAAAAAACAAACCAACCATGAAAGTGACTTAGACCATTTGAAGCTTAAGAAGGCTTAACCCAAGTCAAGGCCATATAAGTCTTGAGAAAATTCTGCAGCAGAATTGATACTAATCCTGGTGACAAGACATTAAGTTGTTCCTATTACTGAATAAAAAGAAGCAGGTGTTAGACCAAATTACAAGAAAGTGTGGAAAACACGCTCTTTGCTCTCTAAATTTGTGCTGTACAGCAATCATACAATTCATTAGCAGTATAAATGAATTCAGATAAATTTTACCTATGTATTTTTTCTTTAATGACTAGGTATCACTTCTAACTAGCATCTTCAGAAGAATTATTTCTAAAGTTTTATACCAGCCTTTCACACATACATACCTTTACAGTGTAAATAAATGAGCTTTTCACTTTTTAAAAATATTTCCCATCTGACTAAATGACCACTACAGATGAGAGATTTATGCTATGCAGTAATGTCCTGGGAAGTTAAAACTGGTATCTGTGTCTAAATTCAAAGAATTACTACAGTAAAAAGGATGTTGCCATTTTATCAGGTCTCATTAAGCATCCTTCTTATTGCAAAGAAACCAACCAGTATTTGTCAGATATTACAGCCTACAGGTGCAAGTTCTGTGATAAAAAAAAAAAAAAATAGAGTACAACTGTCACACTCCTGTTCTAATCCTATACTGACAAGGACAGACAAGGACAAAAGAGGAAACCAAGAGTTAATTTGGTTAATACTAAATACCTGATAAGCCACTGTCATCATTAGAATTAAATGAAGACAGGGCTAAAGGAAAAAAACAAATCAAAACATTTCTGTGTCCTGCAACATTGGCAAGTTAGCTAGGTTCGCAAATTCTTATAATCAGAAGTAAATTTCTTCATTTGAAGTGTCTTAAACTTTAAAACGACTAATCAGAAGTGCCTAAAATATAAGTACCATTTAACAAGAGGTTTGTTAGGAAAGCAACTATCAGATAATCCTATTGATCATTTCAAAAACACAGAATCTATCTGAATCAAGTAGAAGCTCCACCCAGATCTTTGTTTCATACCACCCTAAGAAAAAGTTGAATTCATCTGTTGCTCAAGAGCCACAAACATGCTTTTTTCCTCTGCAAAAAAATAATAATAAAAACCGCCAAACCAGAAAAATGTATTGATGTTTTCAGAATATTACATCACAGTTCTCCTTCGAGGTAATATTTCAGAACTCTCTCACACCCTACAATTAAAGGAACGTCAAGGACTTCCAAAGGACTTCCATTAATATTTCTAATAATTTTAAGATCTCAGAATATGGAAGATCAGGCTAGAGACTAGATCAGACTCCTTGAAAATTGAGCAAACAAACAAACAAAGCATTAAGTAGACTGAAACTGTATTCCAGTAATGCACACAGGAATGTACAAGTTGCTATTATTTAAAACATACTTTGTTAAAAATACACTGGAAACAGCACTAAACTTTGGACTCACCCTGCAACTAAAGCACAAAAACAAACAAACAAACAAAACCCCACCAAGCCACCCCACTACCCGCAGTTCAACTCCCTCCCTGCTTGTATCTCGGGGTGGACACGCTGCTCTAGCAGCCATCGCTGGGCCCGTTTAGGGACTCTACGGGTAAGCGAAAAAGAAATTAAGCATAGGAAAACTAACTACGTGTTCAGAAACTGAAAGCAGGGGCGAAGCGGCGCCCCGAGACAGCGGGGCACCCAAGGGGAAGGCCGGGACGCGCCGCGCGGCCGGCAC